CGAGACAAAACGAACGCACCATAGCTCCATCAACAGTGACAGAAATACATTTAACAACTCCAGTGATGTCTTACTTACATGATATATCTTGTACATTTGACACATTTAAAAATAGAAAATTATGTTTTGATGTTTAATGTTGTTTAATGAGCTGGCAGTGAAGCTGTTTCGTTACAGGCTATGATCAGTGGCTACACACAGCCTCTTTATGGTCCTGTCTTTATAATGGAAATGCCATGTTTGTTGACTGTCCAAACTCCTCCAAAACCTAGGGGACTCTTGCAATGGATGTATTCTTGATTAACTTGCAAGCTAACAATGTGCAGGATTTTCTTTTACTGGAGCTAGGCTAGCAATTTTTTCTTGCTTCCAGTCTTTGCGCTAATCTAATCTTAACACGTCATGGGAATATCTCTGTACAGAGTGCACAGATGGAACTGATATTGATGTTTTTATCTGAATCTGTTCATATGGAAACCCGGAACTCGACTGGTATTTAATCCAGATGTAAGTGTAGAGTTGATATGTGTTGGTCTGTTTGATTAAATACGCTTGAAGAATACATTCATTATATTATTTCAACTGAAGACAGAGTGCCTTCATCTTTTTCCATGGTTTCCAAAAGGGGAGGCACTTTCAAGAAATACTTTGTAGGTGTTTGGATGAACCATCTGTCACCATTTATCACAAGTGAACTTGATCAAAGAACCATATAAAATAGTCAAACTCTTACTGAAGCCACTCAGGAGAAGAGAGAAAGCATTTTATCCATGGAGAAGAGCCTTCAGTTTTTTGTTCTTCTTTCAATGAAGAAATAATCTCCAGTTCAGATATAACTAATGCTAGCAGCAGTTATGCTAACCTCTATGGGAAACAGAGTCCTGCAGTGGGTCAGGTACCTGTGGGTAGCCTGCAAAAACCAGGTAAGAAATATATCTATACAAATTCACGGGTAAAGGCATGGGTAAAAATAGCAGATGAGAACAATGAAGTGTTGTTTTTCTGGAGAAATCCAAAAATGAAAATGAGGCTGGCTATTTTAAAAATATAAATCAACTAAAATTGATGATTAAGCCTAATCAGCCACCAAGAATTTTTTTTCTTGTGAAAGCAATTTTTTCCAATAACACAACTCTAAGTGCCAAAAGCAGGAAGAGGATATAACTTAGTTAACTGTAAAATTTGGAGATGCATTCAGCGAACTGGCTTAGGGCTTAAGTAACATTGGTACCCAGCTGGCTGTGTGAACGTGTGAGTAGCAACAGTTGGTGATTGATTCAGCCAAATGGTTAATCGGGATTTTAATTTATGTTTCTTCATGTTACACTTCTAATTGTGCAAGTAAAAATATGACCGTGTTGTGTAGCGCAGGTCATGGGTCGGATCGCGGGACTGATATTAACAGGTCAGGTCTGGATTTGATTTGGAGATGATTGCAAGTAATGGGTAGGTTCCAGTACTGAGCTCTGTGGGTGCGGGCTGGTGTCTGTTTGCAAAACTGGATCGCTGCAGGATGAGAGTTGCCATTTTTTGTTTGCCATACAGTGCCTTCTCGCTGTGTCATGCATGTGTCGATCCATGTAGCTGCCAGTACTCAAAACACACTGAAATAGCCTGGCAAGAGAGATTCTTGCGTGATATCGTGATTTTGTGATCTTAAAAATCTGCTTGCTTAAAAAAAGGCTGCTTGCAAGGTTAACAATAAAACATGGAAATGGGAATGACAGACAGTTTCTCTGCAGAGGCATTCATGGTGTTACACTTGCTTCTTCACACTAAAGGTTACGGCAGTAGGTGTGACGGTGGGAAAAAAGGTAGGTTCAATCCTTCAAACTTTTGCACCTTTCTAAACAACACCAATCTGTCTAACAATCTGTAAAGTTGGCATGATTGTCTGATTGCCTGTTTCAAAAAATTGTCGGACATGGATCGGTCCAAGTACAAAATTAATAGCACAATATCAGTGACAGTGACATCAGTATAATAATGACCAAAAGGCTTAGAGGTGAACTTTTCTGACCTTTCACTCAGAGTTCTTCCTTTATCTGGTCAAGGCTGGAGAAAAGCAGGCTACTGCCCTAAGAGCCGAGTACCCCAGGGTCCCCAAAATAATGGTGTCACCCTGTCGTGTAGAGGGGCCCTGTTTCAAAATTTAGTATTAATACCGTAATTATTTCAGTTTATAGCTCCCAGCACATATTTCTAAACAGAGCTGTGTTTAATTAAACTACAAGCACACACACAGACACACAAACCTTGGGCCAAGTACAGGAGAACTGGGTGGTCTCTAGGTCTCCAGGCATATAAGAAAGCATCCATATGTAGTATGCACTTAACACTGTATTTAATGGAAACTTGGAGGCTACAGGGTACATACACAATACACAGAAAGTGGGAGGTGGTAGAGTCAATAGGCAAACCTTTGCCCTGGGCCTGCATGCAGATGAAGACAGCAATGTTTCATACGATCCCATGTTTTGGAAAGAAAATATAAGACAGGGAAGTGGGGTCATGTGCATTTGGTTTTGGGAGACTTTAGAACAGATTGGTACACTTTAGAGTAGATACACTGGCCCAGCCTGCTAGCAGCATGCCACTTCAGCAGGTTTGAACTTGACAATGACAGCATACATTTCAGAGACTGTCAGTGCCTGTTAAGAAGGTAGATTGGTGGAATCAAGAACAGGGCAAGTTGTGTAAGGTACTGAAGCAGAAAAGCACACTATGACAGAAGTCAGTCATAGTGTGATTGACAGGTCCTCCAGCAAAATGGCTTCCATATGCAGCTGCCTGCCCTTCCATCAGCTCTCAAACCTCAATCTGCCTTTCAAACCTGGGAGTTGAGCAAATAAGGGCTATGGATTTTAGTTGACAAGTTCCCAAAAGTGCAAAGTGTGTGGTCTGCTTCCTCCTTACATTAAAATTACATTAAGGGCATCAATATTCATTGGACCAGAACTACTGAATGAGACAGAAACTCAATAGCATAGTTTGCCTGTATGCCACTGGAAATTACATACATTGCACTGTGTCTGCAGGCTGTTGTGCATTACATCTCAAACATATGGTGCTAGATTCTCAGCTAATGTAAACGATACTGGACAAATCAACACCTGATTTCAAATATGCATCCTGCACTGTTGAATACTAACTTACTAATACTGGAAACCTGGTGTGTGTACACTCCATGCAGTGCAAATGACTCACAATATTTTCCCATTTTGCTGTATCATCGCTCAACCTGCCTCGAGGAGGAGGAACCAGCAGAGGAACCAGTCAGGCTGAAAATATGCTGATCTGTGAAACTGTCTACTACAGTTAGACCAATATACTGCTTTGCCGATAAACTGTATGCTAATAGCTGCTATTCACCTTTAATCTAATTCAATCCACATGTGATTGAATGGAATTTCTCTGTTACAGCTCTGCGAGGATTACAAATACCTACACTGAAAATACATTTAAAGCTGCAGTAGGTAACTTTTATAAAAATAACTTTCAGTCCTATTTCCACCAGACCTAAAAACCAATCAGAGCTAAGAAAGATGTAAAGTGGCTTTGGGTTGGAGGCTTGAAGATAGTAGATACTGGCAATGTGACTTAACAATCAACAATTTTCCTAGGCTCTGATTGATCGTTTACATTACGCTGCTATAGGCCTAGACTGCCAGGGGATTTCCCATGATGCACTAAGCTCCTCTTATTCTCTCTCTCAATCTTTCTACACACATTCAGGTCCCATTAATGCATGTTACTAACTTCACTTATATTTGGATATTTTGTTTTAATGTGTATGCAACATGGACACCGTATACTAGATTAGGCAAATGCTGACTCAGTATTTAACCTGGTATAAAGCATATCAAAAAATCTCCAGATAGGCTCTAGATGTGACCCAAATACTGCAAGAGCTAAAAGAATCTCCAGATTCTTTGGATTTTGGCACAGTACCAATTAATTGAGATTGCAACTACTGTAGAGCTCATATTTCATAAATAGTGGTGAACAGACAGAAACAGGAGAAATAAACTATTGTGCAGCTGCAGTAGAAATGTGCTGCCTGTAGCCATATGACCATGGACCTGGAATTCAGGACTGTTAAATATATACATACTGAGAATAACTGAAAAACATATGAGTTGAGAAAGAATCCAAAATGATATCAGTAAGTAAAATATGAATGTACTTTGACATGTATTTTATTTGACCTCATCTCCATAATGTAGAGCCAGATACTATCTTGCTTTTTATTTGCATCTGATTATTGGGGAAATGGCTCTAAATTGAAGGTTATGAACCCACACATTCTATTGGAATGAGGGTAGAACATGAAAAATACCGAGCACAGGCTTGACATTGGGTGACATTGTTTCTAGGAAAGCATCAAAAACTGTTTTTATTTGGCAATGCATCAATGCATAGAAAGAGTCATCCTGACAGAAACAGGGAGGAATCAAAGGAAGTCATGGAAATAAATCTGCGATTGAAGATTCATTACCTTCTTTAACTATGTAAATACATAAGATTTAAAACATGAATTAAGCAGTAAACAACTATTCTCTATGTAAAGATATAGTCACTCTCCCTCTACCTGTGTTGCTATCA